TTAAAAAGTAATTTACTTTTACATGTATAAGTAAACAGCTTTTTCATGTGACTTACTTTTACACGTAAAAGAAAAAGATGAAAAAAACTTACATTACAAAGTAAAAGTCGTTTCAAAAAAATTAATTACTTACACGGAAATGTAAATTTACATTAAAAGTTTAATATTATTTATGTAATGTACTTTTTAATAAAAATTAACTTACTCGTCTAAGTAAAAAATAAGTAAGTAAAAGAGCCATTCCTACTCCAACCATTTATATATTTATACTTATGTCAAATAAGGATGCTTTGCAAAAAATTGCGATGATTGGAGCCTAGGAACAAAAAAAACCCAAAATTTTAGCCCCCCTGCCCCAAACGTGAGAGCAACAAGTTGATGAAATATTTTTTGTACTAATTTCAACTAAACTTATACTCATCGAGATATTTTTAGTTTCATAGTATAATTTCTCAGCGTTCAAAAATTATGACCATAATAATTTTTTTTTATCCCCTCAAATTGAGGGGGTTTAAACTTTATATGATCATATTTTTTGAACGCTAAAATAATTTACTATGAAATTTAAAATTTATCAATGAATATTAGTTTAGTTAAAAATTGTTCAAAAAATATTTCAACAACTTGTTGCTATCACGTTTTGGGGCAGGGGGGCTAAAATTTTGGGGGTTTTTTTGTTCCCAGGCTCCAAATATTGCAATTTTTTGCAAAGCATTCTTATTTAACATAAGTATAAACATATAAATGCTTGGAGTTTGCTCCATGTCTGGAAGTTAGATATCTTGAAGACTAAAAAAAAGCTGGCGCCACCCCAGCCGATGGGTATTGTGGTTTATGCTCCTTCGGCTAATTGACATGTTGAGGCCACATACCCGGGTTCGCAAAGACAAGTTTAGCTCACATTTGTATTTCATTTACTTTTCTGTTTAACAAAAATAATCAATAAAGCTTCACCAAAGATTGCTTAAAAGCTTCACCAAATCTCCTTCGTACAAAGACGCGTTTAGGTTGCTCAAAACTCTAGATCAAAAAAGTAAAAAGTAATACAAACTTGATATTGTAGAACTTTTTTAATATTTGATATTGTAGACTTTTTTTTGATATATGAACTTTTAAATTATTAAAAAAATAATTTCAAACTGATTATTTTTTATATTATTTGGTTACAATATAATGCTAACCATAATATAATAGTAATATAATATGCTAACCAATATATTTGTCTGACCAAATAGTTTTGACTCAATTGTTAAATATTCAATTTTGGTGCATTTTAGCCCATTCTAGATAAGATTTTCTATGGCACTTAATTAGCATTGGTTTAAGTCAGTTTTTGATGAGCCCTTCTCTCATGTAAATTACCTTCTTTTTGATATCTTCAAGCTATTGGTGCAGAAATTTTAATTTTTTTGTGCTCCCACAAGTTGGTAGTTGGTTTTAAGAAGATTTGATCATTGTTTGATAAGAATTCCGGATAAGGAAACCATAGTTTTCTTATCAGGAATTCGCTTCTAACGTTTAAAAAGTTTTAAAATTAAATACCTGCGTCGGCTTGTATCCTCACAGGAGTACTGTTTTTTAAGATGATGAGAAAATTTTATATTGTTTTGTACCTTTAGTTTACAAAACAATTTATTTCATTCAGCTTTATGTTATTTTTACCTAACAAACTAAAACTTGTTTTGCTTTGGTATTTAATCCAAATCAAGTAAAATACCCACTAGTAGTGTCAGGTACCACTTGAAAACCATCATTTCCAACTACAAAAAATGACTACGTTAAAATAATAAGGGGTCAAACCAATCCGGAACGCTAAAGAACTAAAGACAAAAAAATTTAAAAAGTAAAAATCGTTAATTTGTTTTTAATTTTTATTTCAGACTTTGAAAGAAATAATATAGAAGAATCGGGTGTTGCACACCGTGCACAAGACAGATGTTTATAACAAAAAGTTGTGGTTCTCATAAGCAAAATAAAATTTTTGTGGTTTTTTCTGGATTTTTTTAAGGTGCTCCCAGAAGTACTTATGGTCTTATCAGAGAGCAGAAGTACTTACGGTCTTATCAGAGAGCAGAAGTACTTACGGTTTTATCACGGCGGAATAGCATTTAACTAAAAAGTTTTTTTTTTGTTTCTTTTTTAGTTTATTTAAGATGTCCCAAAAAGTTTTTACGGTCTTATCACAGAGCACCGCGGAAGGGCATTTGTAAAGTAGTTCACGTCTCCTACTTTACCAATGTTATAAAACTTGCCCAGAGGTGGCGTTGAACCACGGATCTCTAGTTTCTGAGGCAAGCGATTAATTTCTTACGGCTGCTAAGCTGAAAGTTCACGCCTCCTCCTTTACCAATGTCGCCTATTGAGCCAGAGCCGGCGTCGAACCTCAGACCTCTTGGTTCTAAGCCAGAACTCTAACGACTGTGTCACGGCTGCACAAAATCCGACTGTAGATCCGATTGTACTATAGATTAGCTTACTGTGAAATACTGAATGCGCATTTCTACAAAACTAATTTAGTAGAGTTAACCGTGGCGTAGTGGTTAAAGTTCTGGCTCAGAACCCAGAGGTTCGAGGTTCGATGCCGGCTCCAGCCCAACAAGCGACATTGGTACGGAAGGAGGCATGAACTTCCAATTAAATGCTCTCCCGCGGTACTTTGTGATAAGACCGTAAGGACTTTTGGGAGCACCTAAATAACTAAAATATAAACTGTTAACAAAACCATCTAAAATAATCTAATAAAATTAAATAATGTAAATTATGTTAAACACATTGCACTTGCCTGCGCCCGGAGGAACTTTTACTCCTTTATATTAGAGTCAACGTTAAAAAAGAGTGTTATTTACTTTTAGAGAAAAAGATTCATTAGATTATAACCCACTTTTTGTTCTAATATAATTTTAAAAACTATTTACTGCTTTTAACACAACCAACTCCGACCCAACGCTTTTTCTTGATTTACCAATACTTATTGTACTTTTGTTTGATTGGGAAAGTAGACTAGTTTTGACGTCGGAGAGCACAGCGCAAGACCTAAATAAAATAAAGCTTTTTACGTGCTCGTCAACGTAAAAAACTGTGATTATTTATTGTTACAATAAATTTTTTTTTTGTATTAAAAAAAAGTTATATGCGGTCTTCTTTTTTAATATGTTTAATATTTTTACTGTACATAAGTTACTTTAACTTATGGACAATACTGTACATATTTACTTTAAACATTCCATGTTTAAAGTAAATATATTATCTTTAAATACAGAAAAAACAAAATACATCTTGTTTCATTCCAACTACCAAAAAAAAACAAAATACTAAGCTTGCTACCATTACTAAAAACTGATAACATAAACATCGAAAGAACTGAAACTGAAAAATTTCTTGGGATAATTATTGACGAAACAATTTCTTCGAAAGCCCATATAAAAATATTAAATACAAAAATATCAAAATGTATCGGCATACTTTACAAAGTCAAATCTATACTTCCCAGGAGAATCTAATTTATCAAAGTTATCTAACATATGTTAATATTGCCTGGGGAAGTACAAATAAATCTTAACTAAATTCTCACCAAGTACAGGAAAAAAGAACAGGAAACTTCACATTGCCCATAAAAAAAAAAAAAAATTTTCGAGACTTTTAATTGTAAATGTGGTCCCTATTTATACAAAAAAATAATACCTCAAAAGAACTTACTAAGTTGAATAATTTTATTGTCCCGAAGAAAGAACTAAAAGATCTCATAATAAACAAAATTAATTTTATCGATGTATATTAAATATAAAACAACAATTAATATAATAAATAAAATGTAATAAAAACAATTTTAACTATAAAAATAAAAAAGAAAAAAGAAATAAAAACATAATAAAAACATAAAAAAAAAACATAAAAAAAAAAACATAAAAAAAAAAACATAAAAAAAAAAAAAAAAAAAAAAAAGAATAAATATAGTTAGCAACTATACATACTAAAATATTAGTGAACAGTAGACCTCAAAAAGTTAATGCGTATTTTATAAATTTACTTTTTAAATTTTTAGTTTGTTTTGTATTTTAAAGGTTCTCGATGAAAAGAATTTTCCTAGTCTTCTGTGAGTTTCCTTACAACTACATAGTACTATTACTATATTTTATATACTATAAAATATTAATATATATTTTCAACGACAACGACAAGAAAGTCCCTTGTAGCCCTGTGGTGCGACGAACTTGCGTATTTATTTTTTTAAAGCATGGGTTAATACCCAGCGCTTTATATTATAAACCACAAATTTTTAAATTTATTATTTTAACTCAATATCAAACGCCCATGCGTAAAACAGCATTGTTAATGCTCTTTATATTATGTATATATGTGTGGTGGTCATTTATATAAACTGGAGACATGTAAATATTTGTTTTTGAAATATATAGTAATGATTAATAAAATAAAAAAAATGTACAGTATATGTATTTGATATATCAAAACTAGGATAATAGCATAAATTTACAAATAAAATTAGGATACAGTATAAATTTATTTAAAAAAAGAATCGTTATTGCTAAATAAGTATTTATTGCTTACGGGTTGACAAACCTGGGTTTAGAATTTAATAATGAGTTAAAGATTTTAAAATTTATTTCCAAGTTTAAGATTTTAAAATTTATAACTTTTTTACTTCATTAAAAAAACATCATGAAAAAAATTATTGCAACAAAAATGTCAAAAAATAATAATAATAATAACAATATCAAGAGTAGTTTTAAATTGTTGTATTTTTCGGATTTAAATAATAAGTTATTGATTTTTATATAAAATTCATTGTTATTTTTAAGAGACTCAGGTTAATAAGCTTACGGAGAAAAAAAATTTTAGTAAGTATATATTACCTTGCGAGTAGTCAAGGGTCATTAGGGTGACCTTTTTCAAAAAGTATATATATATATATATATATATATATATATATATATATATATATATATATAAATATATAATTGTTAGATTTAATACAAACATACCTTCGTTACTTGAATGAAAAAAGAAATACAAGTGCAAATAAAACTGAATTTCAACATTTTGGAATTTTTAATATTCTTTAAAACTTGATTTGTGTTTATAATCATTGTCAATTTTTATCATCAATTACTGTCAAATGTTTGATCAGCAATTATTTTGACTTTGAAACATGATATGATTATTCAAAATTATCATTAAAATAAACAATTGGAAACCAATGTTTACATTGAAAAAGTCTTTTTGAAAGAGTGCATGCGCATGCGCATTCATGCAGTTTATACTTGATGCTGTAATTTTACTTGCTAAACTTTCAACATACAATTTTTACTTTTCTAAATACTTTTTTTTAACTTTACAAATAAAAAAAGTAACGTTAATTAAAATTAAAAAAAGTAGTGTGTTAAAATTTTTTTTTTGAGTAAACCTTTAGTTTTATGAAGTAAAAAGTAATATAAAAAGTAATATAAAAAGTAAAGAAATCTTTATAAATTGAATAGTTTAAATTGAATAGTTATAAGCAAGGTTCGCATTGAAAAACAAGCTTTACAATAAAACCCGTCCAAAAAAAACCATTAAAACCCGGGCAATCTGGATTTTTTATTGATATTTTATAATTTTATGAACTATTACAACCAGCGTTTCTGAAAATATAACTATATATATAACCTTAATCCGTTAATTTCTAATTAACTCCGTTAAAATTTTGGTTAACTATTTGACGATTTAAAAGACGCTAGTTGGCTGTTAACTTCCGCTAATATTTTTGGTCGCTTATATTCTTTAATCAAAAAATAATTTTTTCTCGTGTGACTTTGTTTTTACGCGAGCGTAATAACAACAACTGGTATCAAAATTGCATTTTTTTTTTCATTTTCCTGAATTTTGAGTGAAAAATTTGTCTTTTTAAAAGATAATATGCAAAGATTTAGTAAGTTTGTTCTGTTTTGTCTAAAGAAAAAAATATTCGTAATGCTAAATTTTCTACTAAAAGTTATTTTGAAAAATAACTAGCTAATAACTAATAAAAAGGCATTTAGAAATTTCTAGCAATAGAGGCCTTTTTTATAAATTGATAGTTGTGCTCCTCCGAAACCTATCAGATCGCTAAGTTTTTTGTTTTATTGCTATTTATGAACTGTTAATGTCACGTTAACCTCACAGACTGGAAAATGATAATTCCACTGTTGCTATCATGAAAAGTTTTTTAAAACTGTTTAGGAAATGAGGATGGATGGGGGGCTAAATGCAGTGTAGGCCCCCTCCCCAGTGTTTTACTTTGATGGGGGGGGGGCCTCCTCTGCCTCTCTTTTTCCTATGCCAATGGTTACGACTATTAAATAATTTGATTGTCGACTAATTCGAGTAATATATTTTCTTAAGTCGATTAAAGTCGATTAACACATTTTTGAAGTCGACTATAAGTTAATTTCGTCGAATTATGGCGAAAGAAATTTTTTTTTGAAATAAATTGTAAAAAAAATAATAAAGTAATTTATATTCGCTTTCTATTTTTAATATCATACCATTTAAATAATAGCAGTGTAAAACGATATGAGAGAAGGGCCGCTCCGACAACATGACAATTTATTACCAGAATAAGTACCATTTTGACACCTTTTTTTGATACAGTCTATATTTACTTTTTTTCATCTTTTCGCTTACTAAAACCAAAAAGGAAAATATTCTTTCGATTGATCCTGAGTTAGCAGGGTACCACCTGGATGGGGTTTATCTACGTGTAAATTTAATTTTTTCCCGAAATCTTTTTTGTATTTTGACTTTTTCGACCTTTTACATAACCTTTATTTATTTTTCCTTTTGCCTGCTGTTGCCTAATATCCAATTTGTACGACAAATGAGGGAGATAATCTTTTTATGACAATATCATGTAATTTGATTGAAAATAATTGTCATGTCATGCAAAGTTAATGTTTATAAAAATCAGAAATTTTTTTGATAACTGCTTCAATTGGGTCCACCTAAAATGTAACAACCTCAATGATATTGACTTCCAATTACTAAAAAACTCCTCAAAAAATTGTTCATGGTTTTGTATAAATTGTTTAGCTAGTATATTTTCCTTCTATAACAAAACTATAACTGAAAATGAAAATCTTACTAATGTTGACACTAAAATGAATGAAACTTATCAACTATCAGATTTTTCCATAAAGAGCCTTCACTCAATCTTTAACACATTTAATACACATATTGATAAAAAAACTCAAAAAAATCTCAATAAACATTCAATGTCTTTCATATCATTATCTCATCACTCTCGAAACATTTTGATGACCTTGAAAATCTACTCCAATCAACAAAACTTGAATTTGACATAACTGGTATATCGGAAACCAGATTGAATAAAAAAAGCCCACCAACTAGCAACTTAATACTTAATGGGTGTGAAGAAAAAGCCACAACTCAACACATCAAATATTTAATAGGTGACAACTGTCACTTTGCATCTAGAAAACATTTTATTTTTAATTTTTTGATAGTATAATAATTTTATTTTTATTATTTTTTGTTTACGTCTATAAAGCCTTATTTTGTAATAAAAACTTTAAAAAATTAAATTAAAATACATTTAATACTATTTATTCTGTATATTAATACATAATAATATTATCTAATACTTGATCTAAAACAAAACTTGAGTTTATTTGAGTTGGGTTGAAGACTATTCGTTTTTCCAAATGCTCAATTTTCGATAATTTTTCTGATTTTAATAGATATATTAAATTCTTATTATCTATGGCTTCTAATTAAATTTCTATATAGTCAAATAGGGATTTGCAGCGGATATTATTTGGTTGCTGAGGCATATACCCCCCAGCCGGCATTATTACGTTGTTTCAACGTTGAAATTCGGTTGAAGCGTTGATTCAACGTTGTTCAACTATGTCACAACGTTAAATCAACGTTACCGTTTAAACGTTGATTATTTAACGTTATTTCAACGTTAAATCAACGTTACAGTTTAAACGTTGATTATTTAACGTTATTTTAACGTCATTATTTCAATTATTGTTGACAAAAATACGATATAAAATTTATGCGCGCGCAGAAATGGAAGTAAAATCGTAAACATTATTTCAACGATTAAAGTTATAGAGATTTATAATGGAAAAAAAATGTAAATACTGAACTTATATCATATAGAATTTTCAAGAGATCGAAAACATGTTCAGACGATTTTCCTGAAAGAACATTATCGTTTAAAAATCGATATTTTTCGTTTAACTTGGGCTACAATGCTCAAAGACTGATATTATTAAATGTAAATATAATACAGCTTTTTCAAAAAATCATCCATTAAATTATGTTGAATTTAATGGTAAGCGTTGTTTTTTAATAGAGCATCAAGAATTAAAAAAGGAAATTGATAACTTTAAAAAAGAACTTCAGCACGAAATAAAAAAATAAAGATTTATTTGAAAAATTAACTTCAACCACATCAGTTATTACTATGAAAACAGACAAACTTGTTTATAAACATAATCCAAACAAATCGTCTTATTGCAATTTACTTGTATAAAAACATTTATTTTAAAGATAATAGATCTTGCGACTTTTATACTGGCCTTACATCTGTCAATGTGTTTCATCAGTTAGTGCAGTATCACCATTAATCAAAAGAGATAAAGTGATATTAAAAAAACATTTACTTCTGTTTTTTGAAATTTAAAAAAATCCTCAACTACTTGGACCAAAATAAATGTAATGCAGCAAAGATAAATTTTTAATGATGCTAATACTTGGATTATTGACAGCTGATTTTGCTGACAGGTTTAATATATTTTTAGGATTAGTGAATGCAATATTTTCTTCATTGTTGAAAGCTTCTAGCTCACTTTTAAACCACATGGTTTTTGTTCCAAGTAAAGATGTTATAAGACAGGCAATGCAAAGCAGATTTTAGAAATTAAATTATTCAGACTAACACTAAATTTCAGATATAACAGAATTTATTATGGAAACACCTTAAAATTTTGACTTACAGAAACTAACAGGGAATGAATACAAACATTACAACAATATAAAAACATTAGTACCCGTAGCTCCAAATTCATCAATAATTTCTATAAAAAATTTTTAAAGCTTACAGAAGCTAAATTTTGGATAAAAAAATTACATATCGCAACATTTATTTAGATTGTTTTACAAAATACTCTTGTATAATGTATGATTAAGGCTTTAATATTAATTTTTTAATACAAATAAAGTGATTTTAATTAAATCCATTTTTATCAGTCACTTTAAAAATATGATGAGTATTTGTATAAAGATAATTAAAATTTCAAACAATAATATTAGCTTTACTTGTTGTTTTTTTTAGGTGAATCAATTGCAATTGATGGAATCTGCAATTGATGGATCTGCAATCAATTGGAATCTGCAATTGATGGATCTTTAAAATGCTGACTTAATCAAAATAATTTTTAATTATTCAGGAATTTTAAGGATTAAATTATTTAGCAAAAAAATTGTTTGATAATGAGTTCAATTTAAATTTGAAAAAAAAAATTAATATTAGTTCTCGCACAATTAATATCAGTTCCCTTATCTATTAAAATTTAGAATATTTTCCAACAATTTTGTGACCTCCATGAATATAAAGGGGAAAGGTGGAAATATGCTTTAAGAGCACTAATTTATATGGTGTAGTGAAAGGTATACCTTTATAAGATATAAATTTCTCCTTGTGTTTTTTTTTTTTTTTTTTTTTTTTTTTTCTAATTCTTTTTTATTAACAGCTTCTTCTATTAAATACAATGGAGCAACTGAAACTTTAATTGATGGCATTTTGTCTAACTTCTAAAAATGCTCTTCATTTCGAAAAGGTGGCGGAAAAGAAAAAAATTTAGATTGATTGATATAAATTTATATTTATAAAAATCGATCTAAAATTTCTTTATTGAAATATTTACATATATTTCAATAAAGAAATATTTTCTTTTTGTCTGCTGATATTTTTTTTTTAGTGTTAATTCAACATTACAAATTAAAACTCAATAATGAAAAAAGCTTAGAATTGAGTTGATGTTTTAAGTAAAATAAGAAAAGCCCAAAAAGAAACTGATGTAATATTTTTATTTTTTGATAAAAAAAAAATTCTAATAATGTTTAAAAATGGTATTAATATTAATGTTTCTAAATGAAGATGAGTAAAAAATAAGTAATGTTTATTAGATGAAGATAAGTAAAAAAATAGGTTACAAGTTATTTTTTGGTCTTGAAAATTGTTTGAATGATAATTTATTATTTATCAAAATCTTTTCTTTTTTAATTTTTGTTGTTTTTATATTTTAATTAAAAGTAGATATTATTGTGTCATATATTATAATATACCTTATATTATACTATTATATTAATAATGAGTATTTTTGTTTTTTTGTATTTCTATTTTTTTTCAATATTTCATAATTATCTTATGTAGATGTTTATGTTTTAGCAACCTAGTATTCTTTCATTATTTGTCTTTGTTATTGAGCCTTTAGTTATTTGAACATAATATATTCAGAACTCTGCTGAATAATAGAGTAATAAATAAATTAATAAAAATGAGTTTAAAATATAATAAATTTATAAAATAAAGAAAATCTTATCTTTGCTTATAATGTCTACTAATATTATTGTTTAGCAAGTATCATGGTTATAAAATGTTCAAATTTAGCTAGTTTAATTAGGCCTGTTAGTACACTTATATTATGGTTTCTTCATTTTATATTAGTTCATGTAATTTTTTCAAAATCAAATATGCGGAAAGGAGCTGTTTGGAATGAAGATTTACAAGAAGAAGTAATTCCATCTGATTGGATTAGTGATAAAACTGTTTGTCGGCTTCCAGGTACCAAAGCATTGACTGCACTAAAATGCAGAGAAGAATTGGCTTAAGTTTATACAAATAAAAACTAAATTCTCGTCAGGTATTACATCTATATATTACAATTATTATTTTTTAAATAATGTGGTAAGAAGAGTTATTTTATTGATACAAAATATATAACTATTTGTATAACTATTTCAATTCTAAAAGAAAGAAAACAGTATTGTGAAAATTTTAAATTCACAACTACAAAAGAAAAATGTTATAATGAGAATGTTGACAAGTGGATGCAAGATTTGCACACAAGTGGAAACTTGGATGCAAATTTTCCACTTGTGTGGTTTGGATGGTTCTCCACAATATAATATATCTCCACAAGCATAATATTAGATTTACTTCATCTTTTTTTACAGATAAATCAATTACAGTTAATTGGTGGAGTTACCTCATTTATAATCAGGGTGTCTGCAGCTCCTCTAAAATCCTCTAAAGTCTTCTTTTTTTATAACCACTTCTAAAATCCTCTATTATCCTCTAAAGTGGTAAAAATTTGATCAAAGCTCCTCATTAATTCTTCCTTTTTTAATTTTTGATGGATGTATAATGTTCAAAATACCCATTCTCGGTCTGCAAAACTGGTTAACGCCTTAAAGTGCATGGAATTGTAAAAAATTGCTTTAGAAATCTAACATAGCAAATGAAATTATTTGATCCCTGTCCAAGCCCCATAAGTGTATAAACATGGACGTTAAACCATTAATAAATGGCCATATAAAATTTCTTATAAAAATTTTATTTGGCCACCCCGAAAATTATTTTTCAATGCTAGAAATGTTTTATATTTTGATTATTAATTTATTTTTAATATATTAAAAAGGCTGTTTTATTTAAATTAAATATTTGAAAAAGTTATTAATAACCAACTAACAGTTATATTATTTTTTAAAAACTCAGAGTATTTTTGAAAAGTTATAAGGCCTCCATGGATATGAAGGGCAAAGGTGGAAAAATATGTTTTAAGAACACTAATCTATATGGCGTTGAAAAAGATATACCTTCATAAGTTGTAACACTTTTCCATTCATTATTTATTTTTTAAATCTTCCCTTTTTGTTTCTTTTTAATATATTTTTTTATTTACAGCTTCTTATATTGTACTCAATGGACCAAAAGAACCCTCGGTTAATGGAACATTGTTTGACTTTCTAAATTACGTTTTATTTCAAAAAGGTGATGGACAAAAGAAGAAATTTGTGTAGATTTTATTCAATTACATGTAAATATATGTAATATTTGAATATGTATTTTTGAATAAAACAAGTTTTATCTCTTTCTTTATTCATACCTAGCTCTTTTAACTAAACTAAACTGAAAAAGTTCTAAATAGTCTAAGTATAGACTATGAATAGATTTAATATCCATAATATACCTTGATAATGTACAGCAACACTAATGTACATGCATAGTACGTTTTGATGGTGATTATATTTTGACGCACATAGCATGTTTACATACATATATACATTTTGACATACATAGCACGTTTTGATGGTGAAAAAGTATTTTACAGTCGTTTAACGTTGATAAATCAACGTTAAAAAAACTATCATTTTAAACGTTGTATCAACGTAAATTCAACGTTGTTGTAACGTTTTTTCGCGTCGAATTAACGTTGATATAACGTTTGAATCTAACGTTGATTTAACGTTGATAAATCAACGTTGAAAAAAACTTTCATTCTAAACGTTAAATCAACGTAAATTCAACGTTATTGTAACGTTTTTTCGCGTCGAATCAACGTTGATATAACGTTTGAACCTAACGTTGATTTAACGTTGATAAATCAACGTTGAAAAAAACTTTCATTCTAAACGTTAAACCAACGTTAATTCAACGTTAGGTTTCAACGATATTTCAACGTTATTTCAACGTTATTTGCCGGCTGGGCCTCCTTTCTCACGCAACCTTTAAAATAAGTTTAATCTTAAACTTTTATATTACTTTTATATTTGAGGTTTATATACCACAAATACAACATAATATTTACGTGTGGTTGATGTGTATAGCGAAAATATTTCTGTACATCAACCACGTGTTTGAATTCATCTAAGTACTTCTTTTTTAAAAACATTTCAATAATGTGCAGAACACCCATATGTTAAAAGATTTAGATATGTTTCTTTGATTAAATTCCTTTTTTTTTATTTTATCTTATTTTCATTTTCTGTTACCGCATCAAATACTTCTTTGTTGTATCTTTCATTAAGATCTTTAATGACTTTAAAAGGAGTGCGGTTCAATACTGTTTTTTTTTAATTTGATGCTCAATCAGTTATGCATAAAAGTTTAGACTTAAGTCCGTCATATGCACTTTGAACATTCTGCATAAACAATATTATTGTCTTTTCTTGGTTTACTTCAATATAAACTTTTTTTATGAGCTCTTCTCCAAGCATTTTACCGTTAGGTGAGTTATATTCTGATCTCAATGAATTGATCATGTCTATAAATGCTAGATTTTCAGAAATTCTAAATGGTACATATGTACTGAAGAAAAATTTGCTATTTTTATATCAATATTTTCTTTCTGTTCCATATTAGTTGATACTGTGTATGATGATGTTAGCCGTTGCTTCATACAAGGTAGCAACATTAACAGATAGAAAATTTAAGTTATTTAAAAAACTTTTTTTATAGTAAACAATATTTTTTATAAAGTTTTTAAGTAAAGCTTCTTGTCTACGAAAAACTAATTTTTAGCCTCTTGTCATTCAATGAGGCGATTTTACCTAATTTATCAAATAAAACATCAAATAAAAATATTTTTAGTCTCCATGCTAATTGTTGTAGCCTTTCAAAGTTTTTCCTCGTTATTCATCAATTTGAATTTCCGTCGATATAAAGGCTGATGTTTCAATACAAACGCATAAAAAACGTTATATTATTGTTTTTTAAGACTAAAATAAAAATCGAGTTATCCATATTTAATGCTTTTGAGATTGTAATTGATCTTTCTATTTACTATATTTGAAATGCCTACCCTTTATTGATTTCTGATAATAAAACTTGTTTTCAATTTTATCTATATATTGAGTTTAAGAATTGTTTATTTTTTTATGAATAAGAATTATTTTTTACCAGTTTACCATTTTTAAATTTATCATAACCCTTATTTTATAATTCAAGTTTATATTAAACTATTTATCTAAAGAGTTAAAAAAAAACTCAATAACTTACTTAAGATAAGACCGCAATTTAAATACTAGTTTTAGCTTACTTTTACTAACTTAATCAACTCCTATTTAAGTTAAAAACTCCGTTATTAACATAACAATCTCTATTTTCTATATAATGAACTCCATTGTTTATTTATTGAGCCCCATTTTTTATTTAATGAGCTTTGTTACTGCTTATTTTAAATATTTTTCGTAATTTAATTTTGAAATAGTTAACGTTATATAGTTTATCTTAAAACCGCATTCTTGTCAGAGTATCGACTCTTATATAATACATAAAAGATACTATGACAAAAAACAAAGGAAATATTATTTCCTCTGTTTTTTCTTACTATTTCTTTTATATTTCTTTTTATTTTATTTGCAGTCCCACTCTCCTTAAGAATAAATAAAATATACTTTGTAAGAAATAAACTAATAGTTTTATATAAATGTTGAATTTTAAACTTTATCGCGAGAAATAATTTAAAAAGTTCAACTGTGTTATTGAATTAGGTTCAACTGAGATGAAAGCGTGAGATACTTGCAAATAAACTTCGTTTAAGATATAAAGGTTTCCATCAATAAAAATACTCAAAAACAGTTAAAATTAAAGTTAATTGTTTATACACTCAAAAATATACAATCTACGTTTATAAAAACAGTTAACAATCAAACTTTCCATCCAACAATTTTTTGAGTTAAAATAAATGCTGTTTCTGTTGCATCGTACATTTCTGTCGAAACGTACATTCCACTCCCATCGGCGATATATCGTGGACTTCTTATTACATCAATGTTATTTGTAAGCGTAGAGTGTTTTTCATCACTATCGTCGGCTAGTTTTCTTCTTTTTGCATTATTGTTGCCCCGTCGCATGAAATTAGTTGCGTTTTTCCAAAACCCACTTCTTGCTACATCAATAAAACTGCTCCACAATTTTTTATTCTCAGATGTTTTAATAGACATTTTAGATGTTTGATCCGCATCATCGGGTTCTTCGTTTTCCTGAAAGTTAAAGAACTCTGATGATGCAATAGTTAACAAATTGGCTAAAAACCTAAAATTGCGTTGCAGAATTGAAAAACAAAATTTTATTCAAACCACAAAATTACATATTTAGTTCTTTTCTTCCGCTTGTATTCCATTTTGTGTACAACAAGGTTTTTAAAAAACCAAACCACTGTTGTATGAATGTGGTACGCGAAAACAAAAATACTTGTTTTTGAAAGATATTGATTACATCATACTTTAGGTTTTAATAATGATTGGTTCATTAGAAACTTTAACGCATAATTCATTTTAATAATAAATAAGTCTGGACTTTGAGTTGAATAAACTGATAAATTAATCATCTATTTTAAAAAAACAAAACCAAATAAGAAATTTTGATTAAATAATTGAATAAAAAATATTTTGTTTTATTCATTCGTCATGTTTTAACTCACTATTACTTAAAAATAACACGCCGGTATTAAATACATTTTCTTATTTAACCTAATCCCCAGAAACAGTTTCATTCACTCACCAAAGAACCCTTAATTAAAAAATTAGGGGATTATTTGATTTTTTTTTGTTTAAAATTTGATTGCAATGCTATTTACTCCTACGTGAATTTTTATTTACAAAAATTGTTCTAAAGTAGTACGATAGTAGCCAAGTAAACACATGAAAATAACGCAACGTTTAAATACCCAATAAATAAGCGTCTTTTAGACGTCAAGTTTTTGCTGGGTAAGAATAAATTATAGAATGGCGACAACTTATTTGAATTGTTTACAATATCTGTAAATTTTGGTTTAGATCTATGAGAATATAAACAACAGCAAAAATTATAAATTAATTAGCTCTTTGATTACTTTTTGATTTTATAAAATATAAACATTTTTTATTTTGGAACGTCATGTTTTTTGCTTTTGCAAAGTAAAATAAGTTTTGAAAACCGACAATAGCATATGACAACTACCAATAGCATAATAGTATATCGGTAGAAGCCGCATAGTATTGATAGTTGTTACATGGTACGTAGGACCATGCTATCTGTGGTGGTTGCCGCATACTATATGTGTTAGTTCTTTGGGTAATTTATTTTATTATTTTAATTTTTTTGTGTTTTTTTTTCAAAATTTTCCTAAATTTTTAAAATGAAATCATTAATTTTTTTCCGCGGTAATATACTCGTTTTTTAATGTGAAATAATAATTATTTATATCTATTTTTATTTTTTATTATTTATTATTATATCTATTTTTTATTTGTTAACAATTTCTTTGTAATTTTTGTTTTCATATATTTTTATTTTAAATATTGTAATAAAGAACAAAAAAAAAAGTAAATATTAATTACAAATCACAAAGAAGGGAAATTAACACATTTCTATTTTAACACGTTTTAACTTAACACATTTTCTAAGCGAGCGTCATCAGTGTTATTGCGTGTAAAAAAGGTTCGTGTCTTAAACAGAGCAACGAGGCTCTCACGGTTAGCTTTGACTAAATATAGGTTTTTTGTAGTGGCGTGGTTTAGATTAGTACACCCAGAGTAATAAACATTCGACACCCCTCTAGACTAACAGGTGAAGGGTGAAACTAAAAAAAGTAGAAAAAATTCTTAAAAAAGAAAGAAAGAAAATTCTTAAAAAAAAAAAAATCCTTCAGAAAAAGAATCTGACATATTAGCTTTTTATTTATTCTAGTATCACCCCTCTGTGTCAAATTGTGATGGTGTTATCCGGTGCGGACAACAGCCCCCCTAGTAACGATATTGGTTTTTTGAATTCTGCCCAAATTAATTTCAACGTTTTCTGAAAGAGTTATCACTACGTCACAATAGTATTATTATCTATCACTATAAACATTTTTCGAATACTTTTCAAAATATTTATCACTATGAACATGTTTCGAATACTTTTTAAAATATTTATGCCTGCTCAAAATTAACCCCTGAAATAAAAAACTTAAAAACCCAACAATGACAAATTGTTTGATAAAATCATCATAAACAATTTAAAAACCCAACGATGACAAATAATTAGATAAAATCATCATAAAGAAAACAAAAGCTTTATATAAAATTTCTAAAATCCAAAAAAGAAAATGAGGATTTATAGAATCAATGGTTTATAGCTAATAAATTATTATTAAATTGTGAAATAACAAGTTTTACTATCCATAAAATAAAACAATCATCGATAATAATAATCTTCCATCGATAATCTTCCGTTAAAGTTGAAAAAACTATTAATTAACAAAATGAAATAAATCGAGTAAATCATGGAACCTATCATGGAGAAACCATATTAGTCTCATTGAAAAAAAACTTCTTCTTTTATAAGTGTATTGTGTATCTTGAGCTTTTCTTGGTTATAAATCGCGTAACGGATCAGTGATGCAGCATTGAAGAGACAGTGAAGACTTTCTACCAATAGCTCAAAATAAATTCCAAGACCATTTTTTTTTGTATGGCATAATTGATCACGATAGGAATCTTTGGTGTTAATGTATTACCATGTCCCAATATAAAATTTAATTTTTGTTCTTAAATTCGAAGTAAAAGTTCTCTTCTATAAATATTAAACAGAAAAGATAACTACTCAAATCAATGACAAAATTTTGCCAAGTTTTTCACATTTTATAACAGCTATATTATTTTAACTTAATTTTCTGTAGATAAGCAAATATAATTTGGTCAACAATGAAGATTATTTTGTTTTTGCAGACTTCCCAATAGATAATCCTAGATTACTATATCTTGTTTCCAATAGATAATTTAGGATTATCTATTGGAAACAAGATGTAGTAATCCTAGATTACTACATCTTGTTTCCAATAGATAATCCTAGATTACTACATCTTGTTTTCAATAGATAATCCTAGATTACTACATCTTGTTTTCAATAGATAACCCTAGATTACTACATCTTGTTTCCAATAGATAATCCTAGATTACTACATTTTGTTTTCAATAGATAATCCTAGATTACTACATTTTGTTTTCAATAGATAATCCTAGATTACTACATCTTGTTTTCAGTAAAAAGGTTAAAAATTCAAATGGTCAAAAAAAACTTCAAAAGTTACCAAGAAATCTATGCAAAATTTATTCTAGATAATATTTTTTTTAAACCCGTTTTAGTATATAGAAACCCTATTGAATATCTTGTAAACAGACATGCACAAGTCTGTCTCCAGTTGGTAAAACGTTTTAATTCACTAAAAACTCCATCAAAACATTTTACTGGAGTTTAAAAAAAGTTAACAGTTAACCATTTAATTATTATAATGGAACAACTTTGGTTGGAAATAAATATAAGGGAAATTTACCAACAATTACAAATTGCCAAGACTTGTCAGCATTGGGAAGTTTTGAAAGAAATAGTTTGAGAAACAATTTTAAACAAATAGCCAGTGCTTGAAATCTTTAAACACAACATTGTTTGAAGATTTTAAGCACTTGCTATTCAAAATTTATATTGAGACTATTACTTTAACAACAAAGTTTCCTGATCGATCATGTTTCTAATTTCTATCATACAAAAAAAAAATCGCCTCGAAATTTATTTTGAGCAATTGGTAGAAAATCTTTGCTATCTCTTCTAATATTTGAAGTGTAGCCAGTTACACGTTGTAAGTTAAGGTATTTGTAAACATTTTTTCATACTATTTTATATATATATATATATATACTATTTATACTAATTAATAAATATTGTTTTTACAAAACATTTTATTAACTATAAAATCTTTTAAAAAATTAAAGACTTTTTGAAAATAAAAAATGTCAACCTTTACAAGAATAAAATACGATGTTTCAAGATATATGTATATTATTTTTCGAACTTTCTAGCTAAAAAGAAAGATAATATTATAGGTACGTGCGTATCTAGCTTTTACGGTACCGATTTTAAAGTTAAAATCTGTAGGGTAAACTGACCAAATTCGAGCCAGTGACCAAATTCCACCCACATTTTAAATTTATTATTTCTGTCTTGTTTTCTGCTTTATGTTTGTAAATGCTACTTTTTTGAGACTGGTATGAATTCAGCCAATAAAAAAAAGCATTGTTATAGTTGGCGGCTGTTTATAATAGAAGTAACATCATAAAAAATATTTATCTCAAAAAAGTACTACTTTATATTTAAAATATCATGTAAGCATCCAGTTTGAAGCTTATAAATATTAAATATTTATTATTTAACGAAATGTTAATTATTTTAAACTATAAATATATTTCTTAAAAAGACAATTTTAGCTTTATAATTATGTTGAGTCATTACTATAGATTGTATTTCTTAATTAATTGCACCTGGTAGAAATACCAAAATCCGGCCAGGTATAAACCTTATTCCAGCCAAGGCCGAAATTAGGTTCACGAGTGTCTAAAAGTAACTCATACCATAGTCATAAGAATAAATAGTCTGGAAAAAAAAGCCGTATCTATTGTTTTGCCGTTTTATGTTGAAACTTGTATCAACGACCCGCTGAAGGTGCACAGAAAGATAAACAAAACTTTATTTAACATTACTCACTTTAAGAGTTTGAACTAAAGACTGGTTTTTATATTTAATTTAAATTGTTTTTGAAAATTTTTATATAAATTATTTTTCTAATCTGTTAAGAAAAGATTATTTAGTTTTAAAAATCTATTTTACATAGCTGAAGTAGTTATAAATATACATACATATATTATATATTATACATATATACATATATTATATATATATATATATATATATAATAATAATAATAACAATAATATATATATATATATATATATATATATATATATATATATATATATATATATATATATATATATATATATATATATATATGTATATATATATATATATATATATATATATATATATATATATATATATATATATATATATATATATATATATATATATCTAATCTCAAAACCAGTCTTCATATATATATATATATATATATATATATATATATATATATATATATATATATATATATATATATATATATATATATATATATATATATATATATATATATAAAAACACATCTAAACTTTTTTTAAGTATTTGTGTCAATAAGTCCCTGTGTAATAAGTACATAATTAAATCAATCAATAAATATTTCACATCAGGGAGGTAATCCACTGTTATTTAGCGTGGTAGCCCTCCCACCATCAATATCAGCTTGGACCATCCAATGGCAACTGCTGCAATGTTGCCCGATTTGTTGGATCTTGACAATTTTGGTGAATTAATGAC